AAAAAAAACCGGCCGCAAGGCTGTTGTTTGTGTTACGTAGAGACATGCGGCGAGTAGAAAACGGTGTGTAACGGCGAAGACGGCAAGAATCCACAATGATTCGCAAGTAGGCAAACATTGATCCGCTACGATCAGCAAGAATCCGCAATGATTCGCAAGTAGGCAAAAATTGATCCGCTACTATCAGCAAGAATCCGCAATGATTCGCAAGAAGGCAAACATTGATCCGCGACTATCAGCAAGAATCCGCACTGATTTGCAAGAAGGCTAAGAAATGATCCGCTACAATCAGCAAGCAAAGCTACAATGCAAAGCAACACTAGCAAAAGGGCACACAAGGAGCCCTGCAATTCCCCGCGGGCCGCCCCGTAGGTCACATACTGAAGTGGGAGAAGACTGCTGGCCAACTCGCTCGAGTTTAACTTTGCCTAAATGATATTTAGCCACATAAAAAATAGAGCTGCTGCGGGTTTTATTGGGAGTTCCATAATGGTATGAGTTCATAAGAGCTAGAGTTTATTCCAACAAAAGGTTTGCAGGGTTAGGTTAAGATTGTTTAGCTTGCTGCTTGCAGCTGGGGAAATATTCTACCACAGTTTGAATTTCAAGTTTAGTGATTTTTTTTCTACCAGGCCATAAATACTAAAGGTACTTTCTTACCTCTATTGATGCCAGCATTGAGAAGCTGCATATAACAGGTAACACAAAATATGGGTCAAATGCTGTCAAATCTTGGAACCAAAGATAACCTCCTGTCTTGAAAGATTCCACAGGCAAATAAGCCATCTTTCTTAAAGCCAAAAAGAATGAAACAAACAGTGGTATCTGAACAAGGGGAGCCAGAATACTCTGAAAGACAAAAAATGATTTCATCATGAGATATGCACACTGAACATATAGTCAACAGTTACTGGTTATCATGTACCAGAGTGTATGTGCCACACTGGTCTGGCCTGAAAATAGTTGAATCTTTTGGGTAAGCATTACAGTATGTACCCATTATTGAAAAACGTTGATTGTGAAAATGTAAATGAGTGGAAAATGACGTGGAAAGACTGCCAACAAGAAACCCCCTGTGTATGTCCCTTCACTGGTTATTGTTCTTGCTCAGACACCCACCACTTTTCGCTATTCTTTGAAAAGGAATGGCGCTTCACGCGACTAACAATAGTGCGGTCTATTATAAAACCATTTGCTTTTACCTTATTCTGAGTCAGTGTGTGATTATTTCCTTACCTTCTATTTGCAAACCTACTCCTCTT